AAGGCGAATGGAAATGGTAAACTGCTGTAACTTCGGAGAGACACTTCGGGTATGCCATTGTCCTCTCTGTGTCCTGATGAAGGGAAAGGTAACTTGCAAACGCTGCTGCGCCCCAGGTCTCATCCCCATGGTGTCCTGGGCACGAAGCTTTGCAGGAGGAAATTTTGGAGCTTCTCCTTAGGACCCTCCTGCTGCATCTGCCCGAGTGAGCCTTCCTGTAAACAGCTCTTCTCCACGTTACTCAAAACTTCTGATTAAGTACTTGCCTAGGGTGGGAGTTGAGCAGGGCCAGTGTTTTTTTAGTTGAACGAGCTAACCTGGCGTAGCACATTATGGCTTATGAGCAGGGTTTATGCCTCAGCCCTTGGGATCCTTACTACCATTTCTGTTAGTAAAAAACCAAGGCACAGAAGAGTTGATAACTTGTCTGAGATCGTATCGCAAGAAGAAGAAAACTGGAATTTTAATTCTGATCTCTTGACGTCATGTTACAAGCAAGCCAGACTAAAGAAGCAGGCCTAAGCAAGCCCAGCTCTGTCCGGGTGGAGACCCTACTGCCGACATCACACAGGGCACTGCACTTCACAGTTTACAAGTCATCCTCAGGCTGTTGTTCAGGCAACAACACAGGGCACGAATGGCCAACTGGAACGTCACGTAACAACAGGCACCGACCCACAGAGGCCGGCACAAACGCCAGCGCGCTCGGCAGAATTCAGAACTACCTCATAACTGATTTTCCTAACAAGGATCTTAAGTCCAGCAGGGCAAGTGGGGCTCAACGCTCACTGCGCTCTTACTTCAGAAAGCAGTGCGTCCACAGGGGTTTGGGGGGACTCTTCCAACAAAAAAGTTTAACACAAGGTTGAGTTTCTCAAAGGACAGGACGTAAACACTTCAGCAGTTGATTCCTCTGAAGAGTCTCATCCTCTGGTGGCCCTGGATAAACGATATGTTGCCACATAGACCTGCTGGTCTTCCAAGCCTGAGTTCCAGCACAAGGGTTTAAAAAAATCTGTTCAAAGTTGTCACCTTCAGCAGTGAAAACCTTACAATCTTCCCACAAGCCTATAGGGTTCTGTTCTATGAAAGTGAGTCTCCTTTTATCCAGCGACCCTCCAAAATTCTCAAATTGTTGGCAGTAAATTAAATATTGCTGTGACGTATTCTTTTCACGTGCTTAATGCGTCGTTTTACTCTTTCATGTTCATGCACCATATTTTCAGCGAGTGCCAAAGAAATAAACATATTTTCTGGAATAAGTATGTTTAAAATAAAATATATTCCCAATTCTTAGGCCTCCTCAGAGGATTCCATGCCATTTAAATGACAGGAGAAATTCTACTGGCAAATCAAGCTTGTGTGCCAACACAAGTAACAATTTTGGTGAAGTCAGCCTAGGAATCCGTGCTTGTGGCAGGTGGAGCCCAGCCAGACGCAGCCCGGGAGTGGCTGGAGCTACGATCCGCGTTCGGGGCGACTGGGGGTGAGTCGCTGCCGCTGGCCCAGGCTGGGCATCCCCTCCACTCCCCCTGGGCTTGTGGGGAGCGCGCTGCTCTGGGCTCACTGCAAGCCGCTCGGGGTCCGCTCTCCTTCAAGAGCTGGGCCAGTCTGTTTGGAGGCGGGTCGGGCGTGGAAGTGGGACCTTAGACGACACCGCCTCTGCTTGTCTGTGCTACTGTGGCCTATTTGTTGCTTGTGTGGACCGCTTGAGAGTGAGCCACCCTGGCTCGCACTAGATGGGAAATTCTACCTGCTCCACCTGGGCTCATTTCCTCCTGGGAAGTGAGCCATTCTGAGCTCACTGGGAGCCACGCCACTCTGGGAGCTTCCGTCTGGGAGTGGAAGTGGAATTTGGGACCTTGTCTGACCTTTTGTGGGGACATGTTTGCTGTTTGTACACGTGTGTGTATCAGTGCTTGCACTGGCCAGCTGAGACGTCTTTGGTGAGTAATGGGGTTTGCACGTGATGACACCAGGGTATCCTGCTCTACTGTGTCCGGGAAGCATTGCCTGGGGATTTCCCTCTCTGGCCTTGGCCATTCATTCAGCTTCATCTCTGATGGGGCGCTGGTTGGAAATCCCCCTTTTGGGGGCTAGGAAACTGTGACCCTGAGAGACCGTTCTGAGTTGTTTACTTGATGTTTAACAACACTGGCCGTGAATAATTAAGTGTGGGTGATCAGAGCACTGTTCCACCTTATAGTCCCCCAGGATGTATTTTGCAAAACTGGAGATCTTCAGCTATGCTCCCATAAATGACAGGAAATGATGTTTATTGTAACACTGTGTGGGCTCAGTGCTCCCTGAGATCTGGAGAACAAGGCCCCTAATGGCTCTGCTGTTGTGTCAAAGTGGGCCTTTTGCGATTGCTTTGGCTTGTATCTTGAGTGTGTATGTGAGGGTGTCTTGGTGCCTGAGTCTAAATTCTGTTCTCTCTTCCTGGTTTTGCTGAAAGTGAGGCATGTGAATGTGAGCAAATCTATGTATACATATAGTGCACACAAAAACACAAACAACAAATAAGCTGCAGTTGCACAGACGATCAGGGGAGGTGTAGTCTAAATAGATACATACATCGTCTATTACTGTTATTTCTTTACACTGAAGTGAATATTTGGGAACAGGAGAAAAAGTCCCTGAAAATAGCCAGGATGATCGAGTTTCATAAAAGCAGTCAGAGGAGGAGCTTGCATTTCTCTTCCTGTGCCTCGGAGATGTAGATGACCTACCCGGGCTCTCAAATCTCAAAAGAGATTTTTTAAACTCAAGCAGAAAAACTGTGAGACCTCTGGTTCAGTCTGTCTTTATGTAAAAAAATTAACTTGTGAACGAGCTCCATTTAACTGACTTAAAAGTAAGTGCTTACAAATTACTTCCAAGTATTGTCGACTGAAATAAACGCGCAGCCTGAAAGTTAAGACTTGTTTTATTTGGCGGGAGGACTCGAGCCGGGATGACAGGCTCTAGGAGCGCTCTGAGGGACTGCTCCGGAGAGGCAGGGGAGGAGCTAGGATGTATAGGAGCTTTACAACAAAGACCGTGTAGTTGGAACAATAAAAGATTGCTTGTTATCTAAAGAAAGCCAGGCACCTCAAGTTAAAGAATGTAGTGCTTTTCTATGTATGGGAGGGAGCAAACATTTGGGCTCATTGAATTCATTCCTTTGACAAGCACCTAACTATCTAGCAGCAGTACCCAGTCCTTTCTTATTCTGAGTCCCCTCAGGGCACCATTGTGAGTGGCTGCAGAGGCTGGGCTGCAGGCCTGTCCCCACTGGGGGGTGGCGGCAGCCGCTGATGACTTGGTGTCAGCATTCTTTGTTTACTGATATGGTCGCAGTATTTTCACTCACACTGCAGTATTTTCGTTCACAGTATAAAAGAAACTAGACAGCACGAACTTCAGGTTCACGTGATCTAGGAAATGTTCAACACTAAATTGAAATCTGATATTAAAGCTAGCTTAAGCTTGTTGGTATGATCAAGACAGACATGCCTTTTACTGCACCTAGGTTTACTGAAGGTCAGTAAGTTTACGTTGCAGAATGTGTCAGCAGAAAGGAAAAATTAACTGGATATGATGAAATTCTCGTAAGTGAATTCAATACAAATGGGATCAGAGATTTGAGCGAACTATGTAGAAATAATTGTCTTGCTAATGTCTGGTTCCCAAATACCTGGAGAGGCCATTTTTAACTTGAAAGTTTAGAGTTGTGCTAAATTAAGTCAAATGATTTAAGTTTATTGAATAGGTGAATGGCTGGGTCATTCCCAGATGCAATAAGATACTAAAACGTTCACTGGAAATTAAGATTTTTTAAGAATTGAGGATTCTAATATAAATATGTCATTGAAGCTACTAGAAATAATGGGGGGAAACATTTCTGTATACAGTAGGAAAGTAGGATATATGTTTTGAATAAAATAAGAAGAGTCAAACTAATATGGATGCAGAAAGTTGTGGAAACTGTCGACTGAAATAAATGCGCAGCCTTATTAAGTTATGTTTTATGTGGCGGGAGGACTCGAGCCGGGATGACAGCCTCTCAGGTCACTCTGAGGGACTGCTCCGAAGAGGTGGGGGAGGAGCTAGGATATATATGAGCTTTACAACACAGACCAGGTAGTTGGAACAATAAAAGATTACTTGTTATCTAAAGAAAGCCAGGCACCTCAAGTTAAAGAATTTAGTGCTTTTCTATGTATGGGAGGGAGCAAATATTTGGGCTCATTGAATTCATTCCTTAGCTATCTAGGGCCAGTATCCTGTCCTTTCTCATTCTGAGTCCGCTCAGAGGGCACCACTGTGAGTGGCTGCAGAGGCGGGACTGCAGGCCTGTCCTCACTGGGGGTGGCGGCAGCCGCTGGTGACTTGGTTTCAGCATTCTTTCCTTACTGATATGGTTGCACTTATTTTCATTCACAAAAGTTTGTAAAAAGGCACCCCCTAAAAAGGAGTTCTGTGCATGGTGGGGCTGAGAATAGATTAAATTTTATTAGGTAAATTAATTTTGTTATTAAAAGTAGGCTGGTGCAGGACTGGATTTGGGTCCTCTGTGTTGAGCACAAATTTACTTAGAACGCTTCTGATAGCAGAGTGTGTGAAACTTATTGATATTTTTGACAAGGTTCCTATCAAATTCTAATTAAAGTTCTTTTGACCTCAGTTACCTTTGAGATGCTTCAAACAGCCCCTGAGATGTCTCAGAGAAAACTGTTTAACTGGGGTTGACTGGTACTTTGAATTGCACAGGAAACATTGTCAAATGAGTGATAAGCCTCCTCAGATTATACGGTATGAATAAATGTGGTTGACATGGACAGTCTAGAAATTGTATGGAATTTCTGAAATTTGGACATGTCCTGGTATCATGCTGTCCGTCATGATCCTGGTTGTTATCTTGAAATGTACGACAAGTAACCTAATTAAGCTTGTTTGTCGAGAACACTGTAATCAGATCTTTCACCTTGTCATTCTGCGTCTTTTGTCATTCGCAGACGGTAAAGCGAATGCTGTGTGGAACTGCTTCATCTTCAGCAAGACTCATAAAAAGGACCTTTTGACAGGTACAGTTTTGTTTTAAATCATACTGCTGAGCTGGGTAAGATATTTAAGAAGCTTAATGAAAACTCCGATTTCAGGAAACTGTTAGTAAAAGGAATTAACTGCATGGGATTGAGTGAACTGGTGACTATGGTTGTAATTTTCTGGTTGTCTGAAATGTTACTGGCTGTTAATCTGTATCTTCTAATTGAGATGTCTGCCAAATGTTTGTCTCCCTATCAGCATTGCTGCTAATGTTTAAGATAGAAAGAGAATTCTCCAACAGAGTTGTCCCAGAGTGTAGCTACTCATGATGTGCAACAGTGTCTGCTTTAAGTCTATTGCTAAAAGCACGTGAGTGTAACAATTGGGTGTAAGTGATAAAGTGTACAGCCTGTAAAGTGTTTCCCCATTTACATACCTCTGAGCCTGTTCACGATACCGGATTAGGTTCCCCCAATGTGGATAACTAGGCAGATATAAAGGAGGCCCAGCAGGAGGGACGTGATCTAAACCTGGGGCAGGAGCTACCACCCCAGCATCAAGGGACAGATATTTTGATCACCAATGCTTTGCATTGAAATAGTTGTAATCCAAAGGGGAAATGGTGAAAAAATCTGCACATACTGAGGTATGGGGAAGTCATTCTGGCTTATGCATGGTTTGACTTAAACTTTACTAACCAAAGCAGCCTGTTTTACAGCCTTTTGGACATGCATTGTTTATCTGCTTTGGCCTTGAGGAGAAGAATGTATGTGAAAGTCAAAATGGAGTGGCTGTGGTTCAGACACCCAAGGTAAAATGAGGTGGCCTTTGTGGATGTGATTTCAGATACATTCCTGTGTTGTTGGGAACTCTGATTTTCTGAGCCGTGTCAGACTTGGGGCGCCACCGGCCACTCTCCAAGCGGTGTCTGCTGGCAGGTGGCAGCTGCAACCTTATGACCTCACAGTCTTCTCTTGTAACTATTAATTTTTAGACAATAAAATTGCTTTAGATCAGATGTTAGCAGAAAAAAAAAAGACGTGTAGTGGCCAATAGCTCCTGTTATGTATATGTTAATGCCACTTCAGAAGTTAAAACCTAAGTGCCAGGTCCAGACGGGTTTTCAGGCTAATTCTCCTGAATTCCTCAGGAAATGAGATCTTAATCACACAAGACTTGGACCCAGGACTTGGAACTCGGGACTATTTCCAACTCAATGTCCATTCCCCACATCGAGGTAGGACTACACACCATTTCAGCAGGAAGGAGCCAGAGTGGCCATCACCCCATTCCCTGAAAGATCTGGAGGGGAATGAAGCAGGATTAGAGATTGAAACCGAGTTCCTCTGACGAGTTTCTGGTTAACCTCTGTTCAAAACATCCTCCCCCTTCTTGTCCAACCCCTGTTCTCCTCAAGGTTGAGGATCAAAGGAAAGGGGGGAACTGTAACCGAGAGGACCCTCTGGGGCCTTCCCAGGACAGACCCGTCCCCATGTCCTCTGCTGTGGCTCCTCTCTGAAGTACCCTGCATATCCTAGCAACTCATGCATATTTCCTGAGTTTTTCAGATGTTTAAAAAAAACCCACCAAATGGAAAGAATAAACTACTTGATGATCATGAGCATGTAGCCCCCAGACCTCCTGGCATCCGGGGGCAGGGAAGGACTACCGATAGTAAGCAGATCATACAGAATGATGACAGACTACAAATAAAGATGCATTTTGATTACTTTGTGAGTCTGCTGTGCAACACACAGGCGACTCTTGTTTGTACACTGATTCTCACACAAGCACAGCTGCACTGCCTTTGAGGAGCTCAGAATCTAAAGGACAAGATAGTCACAGGAAGAATGTCTAAGGGAGAATGTGGCAGTTGCCCCCCGGGCCCACAATACCACCCTCACCCCACCCCACCCCCCGAAAGCAGACTCTGAGACAGAGCTGAGCATGAACGGTGCCCTTGGAATCAGCATCTGTGGGTGGGCAGAGGAAGAAGCAGGAGGGACTGAGGGAGATGTGCCTCTGCAGCATAGGTCTGATGATGGGGTCGCTGACCCACAGGGAGCTCTGGGCTAGACAGGTTCCTCAGAGTTAGGCTGAGATCCCTTCACACTCTGCACTGACCAACCATGGGGTGTGGACCGCCAGAAAGGGGCATGGCGTGGGCCGCTGGGGCCAGTCCTGGGGAGCTGGACAGCTGAAGGCTGTCCACCGACAGCACTTCCAGGAGCTGAGGCAGCAAGCCCTTTGGATCAGGGAGATGCCGTGGTGTAGCGCAGGGCCCACCGTGCCACCCAGAGCGCTCTGAGAGCAGGGAGAGGAGCCATGGACTGCCTGGAAGAACCCTGAAGGCTTCGCTGAGAAGAGTCCCAGACGGTGAGAAGAACTTTCGGGCAGAAAAGCAGGGGTGTCAATTTGAACTACACTGCACATGGTTCATTGGTGCCTAGCGGTGTTAGAGCAGGCAGATAGCTAGACATGAGCAGAGAAAGGAGGACACAGACCAAATGGCAGGAATTGGGCAGAAAGGAGGGGCACAGGCCAAATGCAGGAAATCATACATCATGTGAGCACCAGGGGTCCCTGGGCAGAGAAAGAAAAGCAGGAACCTTGGGGCTGATAAGGGATCATGCTTTTGGGGAGACAAGTGGCCTGGAGAAGAACAAAGAAAGGTGAGAAAAGGCAGGAATTTCTAGTGTCCGAATGTAACCTTTGCTCATTATGCCCTCATTTCAATAAAATTAGTCTTGCAGATCAGAAGTACCCATCATGCACCGACGCCATGACACTTCTGATCCAGACTAAGCACAAAAACCCCTCCTCCCTTCGGGAAGGTGGAGTTGGGATGATAATCAGGGAATATGACCCCAGACCCTTCCCTCCCCAGTGAATATTCCACCCATTCATTTTCACACCCTATGTAGCTAACTTGCCATAAACTGAGGGCAGCCGCCCCCCTGAGCCTGCCCACCCTCCCCTGAGAGTGTACTATCCATCCTTTAACAAGTCCTCACTTTACCTTTTTTTAACCACTATGTCTTGTTTCTGAATTCTTTCTGGGACAGGACAAGAACCTGGAACACCGGTTGCATCTGTCGGCAACAGTGGACTGGGGAGGGTGGGTTGAGAGGGAGGTGAGGGGATTCCCTCCTCACCCTCAGTGAAGACCTGCCTTCATCCCGTGTGTGTGAAGCCTGGACGCGTCAGCTTGTTCCATACCCAGTAGATGAGCATAATTATGTGGATAAACAGTAAACTGTGGCCGGAAAGAATCAAATCATGATGGGCTGGTGAGCAACTCAATAGAAGTCTTTAATCTGCAAATATTTAGTCTATTAGTAAGAAGTAGTGGGTGCGCAGAGGCTGCCACACTGCCTCCCCCCGCAGAGCGGCTCGAGGGCCGCAGTGGACGTGGAGGAACCGGCCCACACCCCTGACTGACTGAGCGGCTCCTCACTGCACCTCCCGGGGCCCCTCATCGGTGAAGCCGCGCTAACAGCCCCTTCCCGCGGTTGCGCGGCTTGAAGGCGGTGATGTATCTTAACGCTGCGCCGTGCGTGGTGGGTTTGCCGCCTTGGACAGCACACCAGGGCTGCAGGAAGTGTCCCCGGCCCGCTTTAAGGCCACCGCTGGTCTTGGCCGCTCTGTCACCAAAGACGCCGTTTTAGCTGCAGCAGCCCGAGAGCACCGTTGTGTAATTCATCTGCTCGGACCCCCAAGCTGGGGCTGGGGATGAGCAGAGCCGGGAAGCGAGGGGCCTGTTTTTCCTCCCCTCGCCGGTCCCGGGCTGCGGTTGGAGACGGTTGCCTAGCGACGGGGTCCATTCATCCGCGAGCTGCCCCGCCGAGGCGCGCGGTTCCCAGCAGGGGAGGAGCGCCGTGGTGCCGGTCAGAGCTCTGATTTGTGAGGGTAAAACACTTTAGATACTTCTTCCTGAGGAAGTTTTATTCTGAGGTAAACTGGGGACATGCCTCTGGTGAGAATTACCGCCGGGATGAAAGAAACTATGAGAGGTGGGAGGGGCAGGGAGGCTGCAACCCGAGGCTCCTGCCCACCCTTTTCATGGAGCACATTATTCCGGAACAGAGGCAGGATGACCAGAGAAGCTGCACAAGCGGGCCTCTGTTTCACACTTGGCAGGGAGAGTGCAGCAGTCTTTTTTCTCTTTTTAAGGCTTTCTGAGTCTCAGCCATTGTGCCGCTCCCTCATCCCCCACCCCCGGACCGCGGACACTGCCGCCCCCAGCCCGGCTCCTGAGCGCTCAGAAGTGGGGCTGAGGGGGTGGCTCAGCGCCTGCAGGGGCCTGTGAGATGGGAGTTTCTGGGCTGTTCCCACCGAGCTGGGTCCCAGAGCTGTCCCGTCCCCTCCGCTCTGGGAAGCGGACACTGGACTTGTTCCTTCCACCCGGCCCTGGATTCCAGTTGCTTTTGCAGGGTGGAAGCACTAAGCCGTGACACCGTTTTAACAGTCAGATTTCCCGTAAGATTAAAAGCAATGAGCTGCAACGTTTTAAGAAAACATGATTTCCTCGGTCAGTAGCTTCAAATGCTTTTCAAGGAGGAAAACGAGGGAAAAAGCAGAGCTAGTCCGAGCAGCCTGGCTTGTTTGAAATTCGTCTCACAATGCAAGTTTACAATTAGAGGGCCCGTTTTAAGGGCAACTAACTGAAGAAATCAGCTTTCAGTGAATTTCTAAGCGAAAAAAAAACCATAAAGCATTCGATGGCACTGTAAAACCTTGCCTTGAGGCAGAAGGATGACAAGCGCTGGTCCTGGCAGGTGCAACCCTCCGGCAGGTGCCCCGCCTCTGCTCCTTCCGCGCAGGGGGTAGTTTAAACCCATCCAGCTAAGGGCCGTCCTTGACTGACATCAGTCTGATCAGTCAGCACCATGTGCGCCCGAACTGTCCTAAAGTTCTCAGCTGCTACCTGAGGCTTTTTTTTTTTTATGTCCAATAGCAAAATAAAAGAGTAGTCGGGGTCACAGGGGGAAGAGCCTAGCTTCTTTCTTTTACTGTTTAGAATCCAAGATGCCTCCTT